ACACACACACACACACACACACACACACACACACTCTCTCTCTCTCTTCTCTCTCACACACTGAGATCTAGCCCTCTTCTGCCCGTCCTGGCACCACTGCATGACTGACTCTCTTTCCTCTACTCTCTCTTCTTCAAATGTTTACTTTATCTTATGTAAAAGGTAGATTTACTAAGCACTAACTTGAGGCTCACAAGAATGTAACCATTTCTTTCACTGTCTACCTCCAATTCCTCCTCCCTAAAATACTGAGTTCCCAAACCCTCTTTGGTGAGCATGGTCATATCTTGTGTTTTTCCCAGGCATGTCCTTGAACTTGGACTTAATTAAACCTTAACTGACTGAGACTCTGTGCCTCAGTCATTTATTTTTGAGTTAACAGGTGGAAGCCCATCGCCAAGCCTTGGAAAAGGAGGACTGTGCTCTGGAGTATGTATTCTTGTCCTGAGGAGGGTATTACATTGAAGAAATGGCACAGACAGGGCCTTGCACACCATCCTGAGAGGTTTGGGCTAGTGCTTTCCCCTCAGTGGGGCACCCTTGCAACTTCTCACCAGTATTTGAGGCAATGCACCAACTTTGAGGAATGTGATGAACCCCAGCTCAGTTCTCCATGCAGGGGGTGAGAGGGCTGGACTAGGTCCAGAGACACTTGGAGACCCCTGGGGCACCTGTGACTGCATAGGGAGTAGGTCAGCGTGATTGTTTAGCCACTAAGATGCTTCCCCTGTGGATGCTATGTTTTTACCCTGTTAAAGAAAATAAAACTTCAGGACACCTCTAAATTAATTGTGTCAGAGGGGAAGTTAGGCCCTGGAGACTGACCCATGCAGAATTCCTGTCCTTTGTGTTCAGATATTATACATTGACCAGGCTACCTATTCCTAACTCAGACCTGGACTTGGTGACCACCCCTTGACAGTCATCTCTTTATAATGGAATGTGAAGCAACCCCTAAGAATAACTAACTGTAACCCATCAGGCCTCTGTAAACTATATGCTAGTCTTGTATGGAGAGTGTTGTAATGCTGTTCCCTCCCGTTTGGCCTATATAAATGACCCCTACTTTCCCTCACCTTGGAGCACTGACCCCTTTTCTGAAGTCTGTTTTCAGACAGTTGTCCTTAAATTTTCACTTCAATGAACTTGCTTTCAATTAAATTCTGATTGCTCTGCTTATTTAGGTTCAACAGTTCAATACATTTTCATGGAAGGAAGAAATTATACTAAGTGCACAGGACCCAGGCTGTGCCATGGTGGGAGGCCCAAAGGCACTTCTAATTCAGTTAAATTAAGCTCACACTTATTGAGTAACTGTAAGGTGTGCTGGGCCCCATGGTAGGCAATGAGGAAATGCAAGCTTGATAAGATCTCACCCTGCCTTATGGGGGAGATAGTGCCATTGAGGAGGTGGCCACATCCCCCACTAGCCAGAATGTCCCCTAGAGATGCAGCAGTGTCACAGTCTGAATTAAGGCCAGTGGGGACTTGAAAGACACCTGACCCAGGGTTTGGAACTTTCGGGGACAGCTGCATAGATGAGATAGCAGATGTTGGCAGGGAAGGGAAACTTTGCTGGAGACTATGGGGGGAGGACAACCCAGCAGAAGGACCAGCATCAAAAAAGTTGCAGGAACATGAGGTGGGTGCCGTGTTCAGGGATGGCGAGGGGGCACTGAGGCTGGATCAGCATTGCCTGGAATACAAAGGGGTCATTCTCAAGAGCTAAGCATTTGAAACTTACCTGGCAGAAAAAAAAGAGTAATTGGCATTTCTTTAGTGGAGAATACATCGTCTGCAACTCAGGTGGGAGGTTGTGAGCTTCCTGAGGACAAGAACTGCCTCTTGATTTTAGCAAGACACTAAAGAGCACAGGCTTGAGGAACAAAAGCCTGGGTTGGAACCATAGCTCTACCACTTCCCAGCTATGGGACCCAGCTTCTTGGGCCTCTGTCTTCTCAAACAGAAATTGGGGGCGATACACCCATTCCCCTCATAGAGTGGCTGTAAAGGTGAATGATTGCCCATGAATCCCTCAGGCAGGCACTTAACACATGCTGCATGCTCAGTACATGTGAGCCATGGTTGTATTACTGCTGAATCTCACACCCAAACCACTACCTGTGCTCCTCAGGGCCCTGCCATTGTGCACGTGGGCAGCAAGGAGGTACCCAAACAGAAGGCCAGGGAGGGACCAGGCAAGCAAGGGAAGCTCCTAAGATGTACAACTGATGGAGGCATGGCACCAATGGAGAGTGAGTAGTCGAGTGTCCTGGGCAGGGCGCCTCCTTATCCTCCCCGGAGTCCTGCCCTGGATAAGGCTATGACTCCACCCAGGTTTCTTTCTTTTTTTTTGGAGTTGGAGTCTCATCCTGTCGCCCAGACTGGAGTGCAGTGGCACGCTCTCGGCCACCGCAGCCTCGACCTGCTGGGCTCCGGCGATCCTTCCGCCTCAGCCTTCCGAGTAGCCGGAATTACAGGCGCGTGCTACCACCCCCGGCTAATTTTTTGATTTATTGTAGAGATGAGGTATTTCCAAGTTGCCCAGGCAGGTCTCGATCCCGCGGGCTCAGGCAATCCACTCACCTTGGCCTCTCAAAGTGCGGGATTATAGGCTGAGCCACCGAGCCCAGCTACCACCCAGTTTTCATTTGCCCTTGGCTCTTTTCAAATTTATTCATGAACAAGAGCCTTTGGACAGAGCCTCCTGTGGTTGGAAGAAGCAATAGCATTGCCCAGGGTGAACTCTAGGGCCCCTGGATGCCACTTCTGCTCTCACCGCCTTGCATCTCTGAAGCATTGTTCCTGCTTGGGAAAGCTTCAGTCCATCCTGCTCACTGCCCCAGATTGGCGCTGGTTCTTGACTAGGAAGTTAAAGTGTGTACATATGGGGAAAGAGACGTCATTACTGATTCCTGGGAGAGCCAGTCCACCTTGAATGGGGTTGCCCAGCCTGGAATGAATCCTGCAAAGCAAAACAGACTTCAGACCAGGGAGAGAGCTGCCGGGCCTCGTCCTCTTCTTTCAGGCACAGCCATATTGAATTTGGTTCTATCCAGGTCTTTCCGACCCCAGGACCTAAAGCTGGGGAAGGTTATGGGCCTTGAGATTGGTTGGGGGTGATGCTTCTTAATCACAGGAGTCTTTAGGAGCTAGTCAGAGACTCTCAATTCCCCACTCACAGCCTATTAACCAGGAATAGGAGCCCCAAAGAAAGGGCCATCCATGGGTCTGCTTGAGCTTAGACCCTACCCTGTTTGAGGTGGACAAAGAAAATGGGAGAGGAGGAAGGTGGTGTGGGTATGCACAGGGTGTGGGTGCGGGTAGGAAACAAGAGCAAAGCTACAGCCATTAGCACATGATGCCTGGGAAGTCCCGCTGGTGCTAGAATGACCCTTGTAAGCCATCAGCAGGAACTGAAAACACCCACTGACCAACGCACAGATTTCTCTACTGTTAGCAACAAAAACGATAAAACATTGGCAGTGAGGGGCGGGCTCAGACCACTCTTGATTCTGGCTTTGGTTCCAACCCACATGCTGCAGAGGCTCTCAGCGGCCCATTAAAAACAGCCCCCAACCCTAAGGCATTCCTGCCTTAGGAGGTGGGAAGGAGAGAGGGTCAGGGGGAGGTGTCCGGTAAGGGGGCAGGTGAAGTGCACTGAGAAAGTCCCAGCCCCACTTACTGCAGGGACTGAGAGCCCATCCCACCTCCAACCATAGTGATTTACATCTCCTCCTAATGAGTGCAACCCAGACCAGTCCAAGTGCAGAAGATTCCACAGAAGGGCAGAGGCAAGAGGTCCTCACGGATCCAGCTGAATAAACAGAGGCAGTTTTGGCAGAGGTTCCCAGCACAACCGCTCCTTACTCTGGCCTGAGATACTCGGCCTCCCTAGCAGATAGATGAAGCCTGAGGTGTAGTGGGTGGGGTGGACTCACCCTCTGGGAGTCCCTCATAGTTTGCTGAAATGACCCAGAGTGGGCGTGGGGGATGGAGGAAGGCAGGACAGTCCTGGAGGCTGAGAGAAGACCAGGCTTAGCTGAGACCTGCCCCCTCTCACCCTTCCACCTACCAACAGCGAGTGACCCCTGAGCCCTGCATTTGGGATGATCTGAATTCTTTAAATCTAGTTTATTATTGGAAGCAGGGTCGAGTAATACTAACCACCGGTCGTGGGTCCCAAACTGCTCCTAAAATGTTTTTTTTTTTAATTAATTTTTTATTTTTGAGTTGGAGTCTCACTCTGTCACCCACACTGGAGTGCAGTGGTCCCTCTTGGCCACTGCAGCCTCGACCTGCTGGGCTCCAGTAATCCTTCCGCCTCGGCCTTCCGAGTAGCCGGAATTACAGGCGCGTGCTACCACGCCAGGCTAATTTTTTGATTTATTGTAGAGATGAGGTCTCGCCTGCCCAGGCAGGTCTCAAACCCACGGGCTCAGGCAATCCACTCACCTCAGCCTCCCAAAGGCGCGGGATTACAGGCTAAGCCACCAAGTCCAGCTCTAAAATGTTTAAAGGTGTCCTCTTTCAGCTATGGAACACAAAGCTGAAAACCTGCCGGAAATCCGCTCCAGCTCCAGAAATCTTGGGAGGACATGACTCTCATTCCCTTCCTGGCTCCCCACTGCCCACTTGTGGACACACAACTCAGTGGGATTTGGTAGGTGCATTTGCTCTTAAGGAGATGTTCTCCTTTTTATTCATAAAATATGTAGATGCAGTGGGTTTTGGAGAGAAAAACACTTTCAGAAGAAAAAGTGAATGTAAGTCCTGCATGAGTTAATTTTAAAACTAGGCTGAATTATGTTGGGAATGTTGCAGACTCTGTATCTTAGGCATTTTGTAGTATGTGCGTGATAGGTGGCCATTATTGGGAAGTCTGGAGGAGGGATGGGGCTGAAATCTACTTCCCTCCCACTCACTCACCACTAGGGACAGCAAGAACCAGAGGGGGCTGCTGTGTGTGTTCCTTCGCCAGTGTGCTGTCTCTTTTGAGAAAGGTTTCACAATGACCCAGTAGGCAATGAGTGATTCTCAAATTCATGGTTTATTGTGAGAGATTCACACATGATCAAGCAGATATTCACAGTGCAATGATTTAAGCCAGTAATTAGGGTCAGGAACTACAGTGGAGGCTCAGGAGACCAACCACTGACAGATGAACTCCAGCGAGTCAGGAAGTCCCTCTGGGGTGCCCATCAGTTTGGGCGGAAGCTGCTCCTCTCCAGGTATTCATTCCAGACTGCGACTGTGCAAGACAAGAAGTGGCTTTCAGAGTTCTCATGGGCCAGTGATGCCACTGGACGGAGTACAGAAAGGACAACTGAGCCAGCCATGGTCCAGAAAACTAGTACTACTAAGAGGCAGATAAAGTGACAATCTTCAACATGGAGCTCGGGGCACATGAGGTCTTTTCAAAGACATGAGGGATTGTGGGGGAGGTTGGGAATAAATTCCCAGATTGACAAACTGCATAAGTACCCTTTAAAATTAAAATTTACCTTTCATAATTACCCTATTCCTAGTTTACAAAAGGAATACATCCCTGTGTCCCTTTCTAAATCAAAAAAAGATACAGCAATACCTGCCCTGGCAGTATTTAAACCAGGGGGAGTGGGACAGAAAAGCGTGGTTTGGGTGCCTAGGATGTGTTCTTTAGCCAAAGTACCTTGAACCAGTGACAAGACTTCCTGACCCTCCTGACTTATCCATGTTTCTGTTAAGTCTAGTGTGACAGGAGAAATGGGGTTTTGGCTCAGGTTGGGATGTCCTGGATCAAGATCTAGAATCTAGGGTGACAGGCTGGGTGATGAGGGGTTTTGTTTTAACAACCTGTCCCTTCAACCCACCAGTATTGGCAAAGATTTCATGGCTCTTAGAGGAGGGTCCCATGAGAAGATGCAAGGAGAGCATCAGTGCATATTGTTGATCTAGGCAGCAAATTTGCAGCAAGGCTCTGTGCCTTCTTCATCTAACTTAGAATTAAAATAGTCAAGACATGAAAAGGACATAGGAGTTGGCTTCAAAGCATGCTGCTTCTGCATTTGCCCAGGAAGGGGCATATGCCTGGTGAGTTCTCTGGTTTGTTCACCAGGACTGGGTCTCACTTGTGCACTTTGCTTGATTTCCAGGAGTGTGAGAAGAGCTCTGCAATTCCTTTCAACTTGTTGACATTACTTTTTATTTGAAGGAATGCATATTGGAGGTAAGTCAGCTATGCTTTATATGCTTTATTTTTTATAATGCTTCTTTTAAGTCATGGGAGAAAAATGTCCATTTACTTTTATCCAAGATTAGTAGATGGCTGTGAAATTTAATATTTAGAGACTAGTGGTCTCAGAACATTTAAAAAATGAGTTTCAAATATATACATATGTATTTGTGAAGCAGACAAGTGTGGGTAGGTGGTCAATTAAATGCTTTCAAGAACGAAATGAATGACATTAAGGTACACTTATGTGAGGGAAATGAATTGAAGATATGAAATCAATGAGCAAAAGGAGCAGCATAAAAGACTTAAAGTGTATACTTTTTTTAATGTTGGAATCTCACTCTGTTGCCTAGGCTGGAGTGCAGTGGTGTGATCATCATGGCTTACTGCACCTCAGACCCCTGGGCTCAGGTGATCCTTTTGCCTCAGCCTTCCAAGTAGCTGGGATTTCAGGTGTGCACCACCATGCCTGACTAATTTGCTGATTTTTTGTAGAGACACGATTGCCCTGCCTAGGTTGGTCTCAAACTCTTGGACTCAGGAATTCTCCTATCTTGACCTTCCAAAGTGCTGGGATTACAGGTGTGAGCCACTATGCCTAGTCACATGCATTTTTTTTAAACTACAGATTTGGCTGCCAAATCACCATAATATTTAGATTCCTTTGGCTACACTGGAGAAAGTTCTGGTAACAATTTTATTTTTTAAATGCCTCAGAAATTGCATCCCTTGCAACTGTTTAAGTTTTACAGTGAAACGTTTTTTGGTGTTTTGCCTACAATTGTGACAGGAAATACCTAGTTTTAAGAAATCTATTGGAGGTATGGAGGCATAGTCTTGATGCAACTGGAGCTGGAATACAGCATTTGTCCTTACTGGACATTTGTTTCTTCGGGTCCCCAGCCATTTCACTTTTCGTGAATAAAATGTTAACAAGCACACACTGTGTCCTGGGCACACTTCTAAGCTCTGGAGACAATTGGTCAGAATCCCTGCCCTCATGGGTCATACCTTCTGGTGGTAGTCTTGGTTCCACGAGTGAATTTACCCAGCTTCTGATCTGTCCAATACCGACCTGCTTCATTGGAAACTTACCTTATCCAGGAAGAAGATAGTTCATTCTGAAGAGCATACTGAACAATCAAATTCAGCTTCTCCACCCAAACATCAGTTGCTAAATGGAGATGCTTATGTGCCCAAGAGGAATCAAGCCTTGGTAAGTGTCTGTCTGAAAGTCACTGTCCATGTGGACATGAGCTGTGCCCATCTGAGGCTTCACTTTTGCACAACAATGCTGCCACCACTCAGAGGTGCCTGCTCCCTTGTCTGTCCTGTGGCAGGATGGGATCCAAATCCTCTACTTGCTCTGCTGGGTTCAACTGGCAGCCGAGTATAGACACGTTGCTTTAGCTGACAGTGGGGTGGCACTGTGGTCTGGGAAACCAGGTGAGATATTGATGGGTTCATGCAGGAATTGGCCCAGGCCCTAGGTCCAAGCCACGTCATGGTCCAGTCAAGCTGCAAATCCACTGAGGTATCATTAGAATGTTACCTCCATAGGGAAACCATGTGCTTGCTTCCTTCCTTCCTTCCTTCCTTCCTTCCTTCCTTCCTTCCTTTCTTTCTTTCTCCAAGTCTCACTTTTTCAACCAGGCTTGGAGTGCAGTAGCACACTCACAGCCACTGCAGCTGCAACCTACTGGATTCAGTTGCTCCTTCCACCTCAGCCTTCCAAGTAGTTGGAACTACAGGTACAAGCCACCAAGTCCAGCTAAATTTTTAAATTCTTGGAGAGACGAAGTCTCGCTAAGTTGTCCAGGTTGGTCTCGAACCTCTGGGCTCAGGCAATCCTCTTGCCTTGGCCTCCCACAGCCATGAGCCACTGCACTCAGCCTTCACATGGTATCTTTGTTTCCCAGAACCAAGACTTACTTTTGATGGGAACCAATCTGTCTGACCTGAATCAGGTCCCAATATTGACACTTTCAGCTGTCTGGTCGTGGGTCATTATTCCTCCTGTTATAAGCCTGGTTTTCTTTCTGTCTCCTAAAGTGGGAATAATAATAGTCTGCTTCATGTGGCTATTGAGAGGAGTAAGTGCAGGTAATATCCAGGCACCTAGAATGTGCTCAGTTGATTGTCATTACGTGTTATGAGACCAGGGGGCAGCCGGGCACTGTGGTTCATGCCCAGTATTTAGGGAGACGAAGGTGAGAGGATTGCCTGACCCCAGGGTTTGAGCCCAGGGATTTGAGACCAGCTTGGACAATTTGGTGAGACCTCGTCTCTACAATAAACCAAAAAATTAACCAGGTATGGTGGCAGGCATCTGTAGTTCAAGTTACTTGGAAGGCTGAGGCAGAAGGATCTCCTGAGCCTAGCAGGCCAAGGCTGCAGTGACCGTGATCATGCCTGGGTGATAGAGTAGACTCCAACTCAAAAACAAAAATAAAAATAAAAATAAAAAAACCATAGTTAATTATCCTGTTTCAGGTTGGCTGTGTTTCCCTAAGCAATGTTAAATAAATTTTCAAACAATATTAAAAATAATAATAGCTCTGTTTGGTTTTCTTTGTTCCCTCTTTTCTAGTCCAGAATCTCCCCACAGGGAAGGAATGGAAATCAGTCATGAGCTAATCAATCTGGAAGTCAGCTCTCCACATGTCCCGGATCTGACTCTAATAGACCTTCCTGGCATAACCAGGGTGGCTGTGGGTAACCAGCCCACTGACATCGGGCTCCATTTGACCTTGCCCTTGGCAGGGGTGCTGCATTAGCACAACAATAAGCCTAGGGCTGAGTTTTGCAAAACAGGTATTTGGAGATGTGAGTGGCGAATTTGGAGAATTCATTGGCTGAGATCCACTCCATCAAGTTTGAAGAAGCTTCTCCAGTGAAAGTGAGGTAAACAGGCAAAATTGGGAACACATTTTATGTATTTATTTTGTGTTTTATACAGTGACTCATTTTGGCTGGAGTTGCATTTTTGTGGCACATCTAAATGCATGTGCATTAGGAAAGGGTTTTATGTGGCATGAGAGAGCATTAGAAATAAGTGTAATAGGCCAGGCACAGTGGTTCATGTCTGTAATCCTCATGCATTGGGAGGCTCATGCAAGAGGATCATTTGAGGGTAGGAATTCAAGACCAGCCTGGTCAACAGAGGGAAACACCATCTATGCAAAAAATAAAAACAAATAGAGATGATATTTGAGTATTAGTGAATCTCACTTTACAGATTAAAGATTTAAGAAATGAATCAAGCAGTTTTTTTGTCATCTTATTTTCCATTGTGACCATCAGACCCAAAGTCTTGGGGGATAAGTTAATCAGCTAAAATCTCATAATTTTCCTTGAGCCGATAGCTCTGTTTCTGCCACAGAGAATTTAGTTTCTCATCTCTGGCTTGGAAGGTGCCACCTGGTTTGCTTCCTGTAAGGTGGTACCGGAGGGCGGGGCGGGCCTCAACAAGATGGCTCCAACCCGGACCAGGAGAATAATGGGCCGAAGTGAGCCAGCAAAAATGAGCTACCGGAACTAAGACCCCAGCTACAAAACCAGCCAGTACCTGCTACAGCGATTCTAGCAACCCCGTTCACGCGACAGCTGTCCCAACCAATTATCGCTCTCCCCAATCCCCCTCTCAGCTTTTTCAGTATGCCCTTTATAAACCTGTCACCCATCTTGCTGGGCGCAACTTCTCTGGCCCACAGCTATATGGACCGGAGAACCTCACCCGGGATTGCGCTAATAAATTTTTCTTGGCTCCTTTGTTGCCGTTTCGCCTGGTCTGGTTTCGTTTGCCTTACACTTTCATTTCAGGTTTGGGCTCATTTCTCCATAGTTTTTTCTTTGGGGGACTCTTGGAGCCTGAAGCAAGTACAAGGAGAGGACCTGTCTCAGCTCTCATTCCCCTTCCCACACTCACACATCACCACCTCTCATTTTCTCACAGATCAAGGCACTCATCAGGAAGTACATCTGAGGGACCCAAGTGACTTAAGAAGCTATACTTGCCATATATCCCTACCTTACATTCATTTTATTTTATATATCCCTACCTCACGTTCATTGTATTTTATGTATCCCTACCTCACGTTCACTATATTTTATGAATTCTTAGTATTTTAAATCCTACCTCAGACCCCGTAGAATTAGGCACATGTCGGGTGCCGGGCAGTGACTGGTTGTATAGTTATGCAATGTTTTAAGCAATGTTTGTACTTAGAACTTTGTTAAGCTTTGTTTGTCTCAATTGCCATGCTGACTACTTCTGCTTCTGCAACGGGATGTAAATGTTAAGCGATAAGCCCCTTCCGGACATTCCTTTGCTTAATTAAGGTAGACTCTGTGGCGCCAGCCACCCTCCTGGTGGGCTCTATATAGTTTCAAACCCGCTCACATGCCAAAGTTAATTTACCCAAAGTGACTGTGTAAACCTAGCTTATCTGACATTCCACTCTGCCCGTTTAGCCGTTTCAATCACAGGCAACTGAGCTAGAGCCCACGCAAACCAAAAATGAACCAACCAATCTTAAGCACCCCTGTCCCTTGACATCACCGTGGACCTTATTGGGGACTAATTATGCAAGGTCCGCAGACTTCGGTTTCTACGTCATGACCTCTTCTGATTGGTTAATATTGCAAGCCTAGGAAAAACCAGACATGCCCAGCCCCTCCCTCTGTAATTGTGCATAAAAACTGCTTGCCATACTGGATTGGGGCTCTCAAGCACGAGCCGCTGTGTTGGTTTCGGTTTGTGAGCCCAGACTCGAGCCTGAATAAAAACCCTCATGTGTTTGCATCGGAGCTGGCTCCTTGGTGGTCTCTCGGATTTAGAATTTGGGGTTTAACAATCTACAGGCAGCAGACGATCAACCTGGTGGTGGTCCCCTGTAATGTGGACGTTGCCACCACGGAGGTGCTGAGCATGGCTCAGGAAGTGGACCCTGAGGGGGATAGGACCATAGGTGAGAAGGGGGGAGCCTACACATGGTAGGTGATCTGCAGTGGAAAAGCATCCCTGGAATCCTAATGGGTGTTGCTCAGCACACACAGGGCATGGGGACCTCGTCCAGCAGTAAGACCTGCTAAGGTGGCAGTTTAGTGTCTGCTGAGGCCAGATGACATGAACTACCTTTGGCGCTTGTTGGCCACAGGTGACCTCATAACCCTTATCTACCTATAGTAGGTTCAGAGGGCAGGACCAAGTCAGGAAACAAATCGTGTCTATGAAGGATGCATTTGAGGCAGAAGCCACATAGGTGTCCATGACTGATGAAGGGATAGATAAACTGTGGTCTGTTTGTACAGTGGACTAGGAAGGTGGAGCTCAGGGAGGGCCTGTGGGCACTCATAAGCGGCTTCCCCATCTTCACACAACCTACCCTGCAGTTCTCTCTGGACAGGGTCTCTGCTGGGCCCTCGGTCCCATAGCTAGGGTGGGAGGAAACCCTGGGAAGCTGAGGTTCTCAGGCCTGAGCTGTCTTCCACCTCTGCCTGGTGACCAGAGCATTCTCTAACCAAGTCTCTGGCTCACAGAAATCTTGACAAAGCCTGATTTGGTGAACAAAGGTACCGAAGACAAGGTTGTTGATGTGGCACGAAGCCTTGTGTGCCACCTGAAGAAGGACTACATGAACATCAGTTGCTGGGGTCGGCAGGAAATCCAGGACCAGCTGAGCTTGTCTGAAGCGCTGCAAAGAGAGAAGGCCTTCTTTGAGGACCACTCACGTTTCAGATCTGCTGACCGGGTTTCATCACGGATAGACCCACACTAAGGATGTCAGTCCTTACTCAGGAAAATGACTGCTGTCTAAAGCAGGTACTTGAGCGGTGTGTGTGTGTTTGTTCCTCAGCCATGACTAGGAACTCATCTGGGAGAATAAAAGGGGAATTCTTCAAGTATCGCAAAAAAAAAAATTATAAATCAATCACAATAAGGAGGGGACTGTCTACAATAATTTATATAGTATGGTGTTAGATCTAGAATAAAAGCATAAATAGAACAGAATGCATAAAAAAGTAGAAGCCCAGAAATAGACCTGAACACATATATTCAATAAGCGATAACTGCAGCATTTCCAAAAAGTGGGCTGTATCGGTTTGATTATCAATTAGCAACATTAGGAATATTGTTTTATTATTTGAGAAAAAATTTTAAATAATGCCCTTATTAAACAAAGTATATCAAAATCAATGTCTGTTGAAGTTTACCATTAAATATAAATATTTTTATAAAGATTAAAAAGAATTCATGAGCATCCGAGAAGAAAATGTGGATGGCTAACTTAAAATTCCAGGCTGAAGCCCTTTGTAAACCTCATATCAGAAGTAAATTTTTTTAAAGGAAAAGACCGATAAAGTGGTCAGATTTAACATAATGAAAATATTTAGAGTTGTAAACATTCTTGCATTCAGTTCTCTTAGAAACCTGCAGAGAGAGAGGGCCATTACTCAGAATTGCAAGAGTGTCAGACAGATACTCACATACCGTTCTGCATGGTAGCATTATTATTTTTATTTATTTATTTTTGTATTTTGAGTCAAGGTCTCACTCTGTCACCCAGGCTGGAGTGCATTGGCACAATCATGATGATCACAGCTCATGGCAGCTCAACTTCCTGGGCTCAGGCAGTCCTTCCACCTCAGCCTCTTTAGTAGCTGGAACTACAAGCACGTGTAACTATGCCCGACTAATTTTTTCTTTTTAAAATTTATTTTGTAGAGATGTAGTCTCGCTACATTGCTCAGGCTGGTCTCAAACTCCTGGGTGCAAGCAATCTGCCTACCTCGGTCTCCCAAAGTGCTGGGATTATAGGTATGAGCCATCGAGCCTGACCAGTAGCAGCATTATTTACAGTAGCCAAAAGGTGAAACAACCCAAGTGTCCATCAACAACTGGTAGATAAACAAAATGTGGTCTGTTTATAAAATGGAGCATGATAGGAAGGAAATTCTGACTTACTGCAGCATAGATGAACCTTGGGGACATTACGCTGAGTGAAACACACCAGGTACAATAGGACGCATACAGTATGATTCCACTCCTGTGAGGTCCCTGGAGTAGTCAGATTCATAGAGACAGAAAGTAGAAGGGTGGGTGCAAGGGGCTGGGGAGGGAGACTGAAGAGTTGGTACTTCATGGGGACAAAGTTTCAGTTCTCCATAATTAAAACTTTCTGGTGATAGATGGTGATGATGGGGGCACCACGATGCGAATGTACTTAATGTCACTGAACTGTGCACTTAAAAATGGTTAAGATGGTCAATTTCATGTTAAGTGTATTTTGTCACAGTTTTTAAAAAATGGACAAGTATAGAAACTGAAGCTTAGGTATGAGCGTACTTTCACAACAAGGCCTGGAAACTTATGTGACCCTGCTGCCTATATCCTGAAAGTTTCTTTAAAAATGTGGAAACCTGTTGTAACTCACTGTGTGAACACAGATTTGGGTAAAGTGGCTTCCTTCATCTAGACAGTCCATGATTTAAATTTTTATCCTGGGCAAAGGTGTGTCTCTCTGTTCTGTATTCATCTACACACTTATGCAAATATGCATCAATATGTTTTCATGTATACCTATACCTACATGCAATATGTGTAATATATAAATATATATCACACATAAAAGGGAGTATGTGTTATGAAAACACATATACAGGTGTGGATGTGTATTTTGATGAAGATCAGTTCTATAGTCAAATGTCATGAGACACATTTATTACATTTGCTGGAAGGGATTATTCCACATCATTCTTGAAATATTCAAGATTGCTAAAATTCGTCCTAATTTTGTTTAATCCAGTTCTGAATATTCGTTGGGTACCTGTTGCAAGACATTTCACTTTGTTGTAAGTAGCTTTGACTTTCCCCAGCAGAGAAAGACAGATTTGCACATTCTGGGCATTTAAAGATAGAAATCTATCTTGTATTCTTTGCAGGGAACTTCTAGAGGAAGAAAGGGCCAAGATTCCCTACCTGGCAGACAGACTTACCACAGAGCTCATCATGCACATCTGTGTAAGTACCCATAGAGCTGACTGTTCTCTGAAAAGAATCCTACACACTCACAGCTGAAACTTGTTGACTTCTTAAAATGTTACTACAAACACAGATGTCTTAGGGATTTTGTTAGGATACAGATTTGAATTTGATGGGTCTGGAGTGGTGAGGACTGAGATTCTGCATTTCTAGCAAGTCCCCAGGAGATGTGGATGATGCTTGTCAGAGGACCACACTTTGGGTGGGATGCTGATAGACTATCTCCACTTGACTTCAGTAAAAATTAGAATTTTACATGCATGCTGCTAACTCTGCCTTTCTTATTGCCAGCCACTATTGTATGTCTTAGCCATTGTAATGAACATATTTTTCATCTCTAAAAGCTCCCTGGGGTTCTTTTTCAAACGTGCCTAAAAATAGGCTCTTGATTTTTCAAGTGTTCAACTCAGCACCAGAGTTCAAGGTCTTCTACACAGTGCCCAGGAATACAGGTAGAGAACGGGCTTGTTTCTAGCTGACTGTGATAATGACAGTGGAGTTCTTTGGGGTAGCACCTTTATGCAGAAAGAGGGTGTTTCCTTATTAGATTCCCCATCTTGAGCAATCCCAGGGGGATTGATTTTTTTTTTGCCTCTGCACCAAATCAGGTTCATAGACTCGAGTTCAAGTTTTCTTACCTAGACAAGTGCACTTGAGACCAAATCTGGCTTCATTGAGGCTTTCTTCTTGAGTACTTGGGTGGCCACTGTCACCTGGCTTTGGCCTCTGAGTATCCCTCTTTAACTTATCGGCTCACAGATACATTTAAAGGGGCAGCTTTTAACATTTTAGCCAGCATTTTTAGATGTTTTCTGTGGAAGGGTGAGTAAGCATGTGCAGTCAACCATATTGTTAGAAAAAGAAGTCCTCGGTAACTTTTTATCTGTAAAAACAACATACAGGGCAACCTCTTTCAGGTCTCCTCCCACTGTAGGAGCATTCCTGTCTTCTTAATAAATCCTGCTTTCTAAAACAAATAAAAAACATATAAGTTGTTGACTCTCAAATTGTTCCAACTGTCACTTTTTCAGGACCTACTAGGCAAGTGGATCTTTCTAATCTCCCTGTAGAGGGTTTATGTGATCTGATGGGAGGAAGAATTGCTCCTTGGGTTATCCTATGGGGTCCGGGAACCATGCAAAGTGGATTCCTCAGTGTGGCTCCTGAGACCGTTTTCACCGAAGTGGGGAATGGGAAGACCTGGGTAGAAAACAGTGCCTCGAATGTGCCCTCTCCCCACCTGGAAAATCTTCCTTTTAGAGAAAGCCAGGAGGTCAAATGGCCCATGCAGCTCTTCTGTAGAAGGAAGCCTGGAATCTCCTTTTCATTCCCTGTCCATTTTTATACATTCCCATGATTTTTCCCTCCATCTTCCTCAGAAATCTATGCCCCTATTAGTAGAGAAAAAAAAGGCAACTCACCAGAAAATAACAGAGGACTTACAAAAGTATGGTGCCAACATACAGAAGATGAAACGGAAAAAATGCTCTTCCTGATAGATGTGAATATCAACTCACTGCCAGTTGGAAAATCCTAGACATCATTGTCAGAAAAGGGATGTGTGCCTTATGTACTTCTTCCTTCACTCCCTCGGAGTTGATCCCAATACATCCTGTCCACAGTACTCAAAAGGGGGACATGGTTGAGAGACAATGGTTGGGGGAATGATGGGAGTCTGGAGGGTTGCATCACAATGACGGATGGTCATGTGTCATTTCATTGATTCTTGGTCATCCACATCCCCAGAGAGAACAGGGATGGGGTTTTTCTGGTCTCAAAGCCTCTTCTTTCTCAGGATTCCACATAAAGAGGTGAGAAATGATTCCCCAAACCTCAAAATACACACAACCTCCAACCTCTTAGTGCTACCATGTTGGAGATTAAGTTTCACCTTACAAATTTTGGGAGGACACAAACATTCAGACCATAACACTGGGTCAAGTACCATCATGAACCTGATAAGTTGGGTTGAGACAGAAGAGGTGAGGCAGTTGGTGAGAATGGCTGGAATAAGGACACAAACTCCTTTTTGTCTTTGAAAGATCTCTGCTTATACTGATGTTTATTCTTCTTGTGAAAAGTAAAGCACTTAATCAGGATATTGCTGCTTTAGTGCAAGGGGAGGAAACTGTAGAAGATGAAGGCACCTGGCTGTTTACCAAACTCTGGAATGAGTTCCACAGGTGAATGTTATAATTGAAAAAGTTTCAAATCAGTGAGATGTTTTAATCTCTTTGTGCTACAATAACAAAATGACGTATACTGGGTAATTTAGAAACTATAGAAATGCATTGCTCACAGTTCTGCCGGCTGAAAAGTCAAGTTCAAGCCACAGAAAGATTTGGTGTCTGGTGAGAACTCATTCTCTGCTGCGAATATGGCACCTTATAGCTGTGTCCTCACATGGCATAAGTGATGAACAAGCTCTCTTGGACCTCTTTTTTAATAAAGGTTCTACAGGCAGACCTCAGAAATATTGTGGGTTCAGTTCCATACAATTTAAATAAAGTGAATATTGCAATAATGTAAGTCAAATAAATTTTTTGGTTTTCAGAGAATATATATATTATATATTTTGAGTTGGAGTCTCACTCTGTTGCTCAGACTGGAGTGCAGTGGCACACTCTCGGCCACCGCAGCCTCAACCTGCTGGGCTCCAGCGATCCTTCTGCCTCAGCCTTCCAAATAGCTGGAACTACAGGCGCGCGCTACCACACCTGGCGAATTTTTAATTTATTATGGAGATGAAGTCTCGCCAAGTTGCCCAGGCAGGTCTCGAACCTGCAGGCTCAGGCCCAGAGATTATTAAAGTGAGGTTTATACTATACTGTAGCTATAAGTGGGTAGTAGCATTATGCCTAAAAAACAACGCATATATCCTTATTTAAAAAAAAACATTATTTCTTAAAACTGCTGACACAGAAATATGAGTGAGCATTTACTCGGCAAAATGACACTGACAACTTGCCCAACACAGGGTTGCCACACCTTCAGTGTGTAAAGAGTGTATTATCTGGCCAGTTTTGGTGGCTCAGCCTATAATCCCAGCACTTTGGGAGGCCAAGGCTAGTAGATTGTCTGAGCCCATGGATTCGAGACCAGACTGGGCAACTTGGCGAGAACTTATCTCTACAAAAAAAAAAAAAAAAATTAGCCGGGCATAGTAGCTTGCGCCTGTAGTTCTGGCTACTTGGAAGGTTGAGGCAGAAGGATCGCCAGAGCCCAGCAGGTCAACGCTGGGTTGGCCGTGAGTGTCCCACTGCATGCACTCCAGCCTGGGCGACGGAATGAGACTCCAACTAAAAAAAAAAAAAAAAAAGTGCAATGTCTGTGAAATGCAACAAAAAGAGATATGCCTGTAATTCTGTTCACTACTGCTGACCTGATCACTTCCCAAAGACCTTACCTCTTAATACTGCCATGTTAGAGATTAAGTTTCAACATACGAATTTTGGAGTTGTGTCAGTCACATGTCAGCTACGGGTCACAGGGAAGGTTTCTTAAACTCTAGCTCAGTAATTTTCTATTCCCACAGGCCTAAACTAGTTAGCTTGTCTCAATAGTTACAGGGTTTTCTTGAGCTGATAGAAGTGTTCAGGAATTAGATTATGGAGATAGTTGTACAACTTTGTGAATATACTAAAACTCACTTTTAATAGGGAGAATTGTATAATATGTGATGGACATCTCAATAAAACACTGCTATGGGAAAAAATCTCCTGGCCAAAAGAGGGTACAAGACTACCATTCCTGATTCATTCTTCAAAAAGAGAATTCAGAGCCCTTTTTAACTTCCATTCCTGATAGGGGTGACTCTACATAGCCTGGGAAGAAAAAAAAATCATTTTATACGGTGAGCCATGATACCATGTTGCATTAATACAATTTGGTGTGCCTGGTTACTCAAGTATTCCATCTGCTTTATAAATACTTTCTACTCATGCTGTTACACGTGAATATGGGTTGTATAATTGACTCCACTGAGTGTTCATATTAATTTCTACTCTTTAAAAGACACACAGTCCGAGTAAGGAATATATTCAATTATGGTACAATTTCTTTGGTGAAAATAAAATTTACAGAAGTTCATACTCAAGTACCTTTTCAAGAATGTTTCTTACATGAAGTTTCTGCATTTGCTGATTTCTGGCATCCACACTCCCCATCTTGAGATGACTAAGGAAAATTACCTTGAGATCTTCATTTTGCTGCAATCCCTGAATATTTTGCAATCAGCAAGTTAGTTTTGATTTGATATCATTTTTTCTTGACACTCCTATTTTCAGAAAGTTCAGAATTGTATTATGTTTAGACAAAATCTGCAAGGTTTTTTTGGAAAATAATTTAAAGCTATTCTTTTCTATTGGAGGTTATGACCTTATGAGTAACGAAATTCAGAAATCTGAGAATCAGTATTGTGGCAGAGAGCTGCCAGGATTTGTGAATTATAGGACATTTGAGTAGATCATAAAACAGCAAATCAAAGCCCTGGAGGAGCCAGCTGTTGACATGGTGCACAAGGTAACTAGTGAGTCCTTGGTTTCACTTCTAGTCATTTTATTTCTAGGGCAGGGAAAGGTTCAAACCCAAGACTGCACCAAATTTAGGAGTCCTGTGTCAGGAATGAGGACAAAGACCACTACTGTGGTTGTTTCAAACTCTCAGAATACTCTGCTTATTTGAACTCTCTAAGAAGTAAGGCAAATTGTTAAATAACTGAACTATACATGTAGATATGTCAGTATTCTAGAATGGAGTAGGAATCTAGAATGATGTGCCTTGTCATAGATTGATAGGGGCCCATGACCATGCTCTTCTTGAAATACTTTGTTTTCTTGGTTTTCCAGATGATATTGAAGAGATTCAGCATTGAATCTCTTTTCTTTATCCTCTCCTTGACTTACAACATCTTACTCAGACTTCACTCATTTTAACAATAATAATAATCTTTCTTGGGTCCATGAACTAAGGTGCTGGAGACAGCCTCATAACAGCTCATCCAGTGATGAAATTTTTGAGTGTCTTTGTATTTCTTTTCAAATAGATAATGTGGACATTCAAATTCCATTGAGATTTAAGAGTGATTTGACAGTTTTATATAAAATATATTTATAATTTTCCAGAAATTATATTCTTTGCAACTATTTGTATTTAGGATAAAAATTTTAAATGTCAAATATATCCGGAGGCATTCAGGTTTTAAAATTCTTCCAGTGAGTTCCTCAGCAAGATAACATGTCTTTCTATTTATGGTAAAGAAGAGAAGAAAAGAGGGAGGGAGAGAGGAAGCTTTACTTTTTACCATGTAATCTTTATATTTTTTGCAATCTAGGAAGAGTAAAAATGGTCCCATCAATACTGAACTATTTTTCCCTCTTTGATCAGATATTGTCCAGTTCACTTTTGCAGATGTTCTGGTAAAACATTTTGAGGAATTTTTTAAACTCCATAGGACAGTCAAGGTAAAACCAACAGTGTGTTATTTTAAAAAAGAGAAAGATTTTTCTGAATTAAGACCATTTCAACTTTATTGTACAGATTGGGAGAATCTCACTAATTTGTGAATCTTACTAATTTTACTAATAATCTTACTAATTTCTGGATAAGAGCAATAAGATAAATAATGTCTGGATAAAAGCAATGAGATAACACGAGAGAATTTAGAAATAAACTGTTTAAACTCATCGGAACAAGATATCCAAAGTTAATGTAGAAGATTATCACATCTGAAGAAAATGACCTCAAATTCAGAAACTCATTGAGTAAGCCAACTGTAAAAATGATATCTTTCAAGAATAAAGAAAAGACAAGAGGAAACAAAATATCCCCATATCCCCCACCAAGGAGATAACCTGGACCAAGAGACCAGGCTCATCCACTCTTAAAAATGGGGCTCCCTGGCACAGATGGGGAGATGGGCTCTGTCATTCATGAGCTGTAGGTCTTTGTATATGCTACTGCACTGGCCTGTGCCTCTGACCCCCTCCATGTGCAAAATGGAACTAATAAGAACTTCAGTAGGTTGTGATGAACATAGAAGAAAGTGTTTAGGATTCACTTGAAATTGTGCACCACACATGGTGGCTCGCGCCAAGGTCTGGAAGGTTCCAGATATTCTTTGTGTAAAGTTTCTCCTCCTTGGCTTTTTGGCCAGGGTGTTTCTCCAAACCCCAGGAACATGAAACATAGAATTTGACGGATTTGCATTTTACCCTCTCTCCTTATTCTTTTGAACTCTGATGAATATGATACTCCTCATCATCAATATAAAAGCCCTTGAAGGAAAAAAAAGATACTTAGCAGCCTGAGACCAGAGTCTATGCAGGTTCCCAGCCTGGTCACCCATGTGGCTAAGGCTTTCGTGGAGAGTTGGACCCTCAGCCAGGAGTGGGAACACTGTCTTAGATAAGCTGAGGTGGGGCCCAGAGGGCTGCTTCAAAGAAATGTGCTATTTCACTTAAGTTGGGTAACCTGATATTTGTAGACTTTTCAATGACCTATCTTTCTATGACTCAGGGATTCACTGCTTGAGGAAAAGTGAGCTATGTTTCTCTTTCACCACAGTCCAAAATCGAAGACATTCGAGCAGAACAAGAAAAAGAAGGTGACAAGTTGATCCGACTTCACTTCCAGATGGAGCAGATTATCTACTGCCAAGACCAGGTTTACAGGGGTGCGTTGTAGAAGGTTCAAGAGAAGGAAATGGAAGAGGAAAAGAGGAATAAAAGATCATGTAATTCGTTCTTTGAACAAGACTCTGAAAACTCTTCCATGGCTGAGATCTTTCAGCACCTGATCACCTACCACCAGGTGAGTCTGTCTCAGAAAGGCAGTTACATGGCATTTCCTTTTCTTCTGAATGCCTCTCTCTTGAGTCTTGCTCTCTCTGGAGGTGGCCATCGTTTAGGTCTTTGTTTGCCTCCATAGAAGCAGCTCAACCTCAGACAGACAGAAGGGGCTGTGACTTAGAGCCACTGATATCTGGTTTTGATCAGCTGTATAGCTCTGGTCAAGTTACTTAACCTTTCTGAGTCTCAGCCTTCTTCTCTGTAAAATGCTGTCTCCTCCTAGATTCTGGAGACTGTTCCATGAGACAGCATGGATAAGTTCCTTAGTACAGTGAAGGAATGCCGTGACAGCTCACTTAATGGAAGCTATCTCATAGACACATGCTGTTAGAGTCCAGCTCCAACACAAGGGTTAGGACCTGAGGCAAGAGAATCAGACGTGGTGAAGGAAGAAGACATAAGTCAACTCCCTGGGTCTAGTTCGGGACTCTTCCAAAGTTTATTCAATTTTCACATGCTTATATAGGGCATTTTCAACCCTCAACCCCCTCACACATATGCCCACAAAAGCTTACATTATGTTTTCTTTTACAATCAAACGTTCTACAGTGATTTATTTGTTCCTCCCTATTCTTTTTTTGTTTCCATTATGTTAAAACCAACAGACAGGAACGAAACAACTTTTGTTAAAAATTATTAACTGTAATCTTTTAACCCTTACCCCTTTTATATCATATTTCTAACTAAATTCTTACATGTAACTTAGCAGCAATATATTGGCATTTTCATAACTAACTTTATTACTTCTTAATTATTTTCTATAAACTTTTCTATTTGTATCTGTTTTTATTCTTATTTTGCTTATATGAATCATAATCTATAATATTTAACAATCTTTATATGAATTATACTTGATTACTCTATATTATATATTTATTTCCTATTTAATTATATTTTATCTAATTATTTTTAACCATCTTCCTATTTTTATCTACTTAACTATTCTTTCTTATATTATTATACATATACTACTAAGTCGTTTTAACCTTACAAACTTATATCTACTATGTCTATGCTTTCTTAAATTATGTTTAAAAGCAGCTGCCCTCAGGATCGACTTGTCTCAGGTCTCACAAACTTCCTCCTCCATCTTACCCGTCTAAAGTGTTATTTTAGTATAGGGTCTGTTAACCATTAAAAATAAAGAATGGGAAAGTTTTTTATTTTCCTTATACACAATGGTTTTGCTTTTCATGGAGACGAAGGTAACTAAACATTCTCTAGCGTCTCTAATGGCTGTGCTTTTGCTGTGTTCCTTATTCATGTCTCAAACTTCAGTTTCACCAATACATCATCCTCCCTTGTTAGTTAATGCTTCATCAGAAAGGGGTACTTTCTGTCTTATGCACACACTCCTAAAGATCAAAGGGGCCCATCAATGGGATCCATGGGGCTTTGCCTCCGGCATGGCCGCTTTAGCTGGGACCTTGCTCCCAGCTAGCGTTTTTCTCATTTTTCAGGTAACCCTTACTTTGCCTTCTGTTAGGAGTTGCGGCTCCTGACAACATGCTTTGATAGATACCACATGTTTCAAATCACGTAATGTCCAGGATGATTCATCCTGGGGGAAGGTGGTGGTGACACAGGTACAACTCAAGTAGAGCTGTAGGGCTGTATACAAATCTGGGCAGGGAAAGCAAATCATAATCTCTTGGTTTACCAGATGTCCTCGTCACCTCACAATTTGGATGCTGTAAGGCAATGCTTCTCCAACTCCACCCTGCAGGAGGGCCTCCTGGGAGCCTTGTTGAAACGCAGATGTTGATTGCAGTCTGGGATGTGGCTGAGCTTATTTCTGATAGGCAACCATGGGGCATCCATGCTACTGGATGAAGACCACACTGGGAGCAGCGAGGCTGAAACCAAGGGTCAACCCTATTTCTGCATACACTGGGAGCAAACACGTAATGCTGAAACAGGGGACACAGCTGCCTCTCCTGCAGCCAAGTTCAGCACCTGTGTACTGGAGGAACTGCCTCATGGAATGAACCGTGTGCTGGAGCGTAGGTGAGGTACACACATGCTCAAAATCCAAAAGATAGAATGAGTGACAGGGGCAAGTGGGTCTCCAACCGACCTTATCCAAGCTGAGCACCTCCCTTCCCCAGCTCGCCCTTCTTCTCTGTCCTCCAAGGGTGACTCCATGCACTGGTAAGCTCCTCTGTGTGCACATTGTGCAATTGTTTTTACACCAAAGAGAGCAGAGCACACATGCTGCTCTGCCGCCTGCTACTTGTGCTGTGCCTTGGAGGTCACTCTGCTTCAGTGCTTGTAATGCTTTTCATTGGCGCCCAAGTATCCCACTCTCCGGCTATGGCATATTGAACCTGTTACCCTATTAATGGACAGTGTTTGTTGTCAGTCTTTCGCTAAGCAGGGTGTTGCCACGAATAGCTGTGTTCATCCATCATGTATCTGGAAGCATAATTTCCTAGAAATGAGGTTCCTGGTGTATTTCTCAGGGTTGTGACAGGAACACAGAACCATTTCATTTTACCAAATACTTTTCAGCTGGATGCAGTGGCTCACGCCTGTAATCCCAGTACTTTGGGAGGCCGAAGCCAGAATATTGCCTGGGCCCAAGTGTTTGAGACCAGCCTGGCCAACTTGGTGAGACCTTGTTTCTACAATAAATCAAAGAGTTAGCCAGGCATGGTGGCACATGCCTGTAGTCCCAGCTACTTGGTGACTGAGGAGGAAGGATCATCTGAGCCCAGCAGGTTGGGACTATGGTAGCCTTGAGCATGCCTCTGCACTCCAGCCTTGGCAACAGAGTGAAACTCCAACTCAAAAAAAAATAAAAAAAATAAAAAAATTCAAGGCCTTTGCTTATGTGATTGTGGGGGCTGGCAGATCCAGAATCTCAGGGCAGGTCATCAGGGAGTACAACCTGGAAACTGAGACAGGAGCTAAGGCTGAGTTCACAGGCAGAATCTTTCCCCCCTCAGAGATACCTTGTTTTTGCTCTTAAGGCCACCATAGCCTCGACCTGCTGGGCTCCGGCGATTCTTCCGCCGCAGCCTTCCAAGTAGCTGGAATTACAGGCATGCGCTACCACGCCCGACTGATTTTTTGATTTATTGTAGAGATGAGGTCTCGCTGCCCAGGAGGGTCTCGAATCTGTGGGCTCAGTCAATCCACTCACCTCAGCCTCCCAAAGGCGCGGGATTACAGGCTGAGCCACCGAGCCTGGCCATCCTCTTTCTTTGAGTCTGTGAGTGAACGTTCTGGTGAGATGAGTCTCTTGGAGACAATATATTGTTGCCTCATGATATTTTATCCATTTTGCCATTCTATATCTTTTCAATGGTGCATTTAGTTCATTCACATTCAGGCTAATTATTAAGATGTGAGAATTTATCCCTGTCATGAGGTTCTTACAGAGTTTGTTGTCGGTACTGCTATTTATTTGCTTATTTGTTTGTTTTCTTGCTTTTGATTTTTGGGTTGATTCATGTGTGTTTTCAACATTTTTCCTGCATTCTTGGGAAGGCTGTTGTCATTTTTTTTCTTTTCTTCTGGTTTAATACCTTCTTAAGTTTTTCTTTTAGAACTGGTCTGGAGGCAGTATAAACTCTTAGGGATTGAATGTCTAAGAAGGATTTTAATTCTCCATAACTGATGAAACTTAGCTTAGCTGGGTAAGTAATTTTTGGTTGAAACTGTTTATCTTTGAGAACATTGAAGATTGAGCTCCAAGCTCTCCTTGAGCTCCAAGCTCTTGTGGAATGCGTTTATACTTGATTTATGGCCAAGGATGTGTTCAATCTTAGAGTAAGTTCTGTTTGGTGATGAATAGAATATATCACAAGACACAAGTTCCATGTGGTGGTGAGTAGAATGTGAACAGAACACAAAAGAAAGCAGGAATCACAATCTTAATATCAGACAGAATACCCTTTAAGTTATCAAAAATTTAAAAAGACACAGAAGGTCACTACATAATGATAAAAGGTTCAATCCATCAACAAGAAATATCCATCCTCAACATATATGCACAGGAGCACCAACTTTCATAAAGCAGCTTCTAGGTAAACTAGAGAAAGATCTTGACTCTAATACTATAATAACTGGGGACTTAAATGCACCACTAACAAACCTAGATAGATCATCAAGACAAAAATTCAACAAGGATATCTGGTACCTCAACATGACACTTGACCAAATGAACTTAACTGATACCTACAGAATACTCCACCCAACAGCCACAGAATATACATTCTATTCATCACCACACGGAACTTACTCTAAGATTGAACACATCCTTGGCTGCCATTCTAATTGGTCTTATCTGGTAGGTAGTCTGCCCTTTCTCTCTCACTGCCTTAAGGATTTTTTCTTTTATACCTCTTTGTGTAGACGAATTACTATGTGTCTAGGAGTTAGTCTTTTCATATATTGTCTTGCAGGGGTTCTCTGAATCTTTTGTGTTTGAATGGTCATGTCACTGATGAGATGAGGGATGCTTTCTTGGATAATTTCATGGAATGTTTGTTCCAGGGTGGTCTCTGTCTCTCTATCTGCCTCAGGAATTCCAATTAATCTTAAGTTTGGCCTCTTGAAATAATTGCTTATCTCTTGGAGGTTTTGTTCTGTCTTCCTAAACTTCTTTTCTATGTTTTTAACAGTTTAGGTTAGTTCTATATTTTGGTCCTCAAGCTCTGAGATTCTTTCATCTGCTTGGTTAATTCTGCTTTCTATGCTTATCAGTTTGTTATTTATTTCATTCATTGTATTATTGATTGCTGTTACCTCAGTTATCGACTCCTTTGTTCTTTCTTTTTGTCTCTCCTCATTTCTATGTATTCTTTCTATTAATATCTTGATATCTGGGTTTGTGGTTTGAGACCAGTCATTCTGGAGGCTCTTCATTGTTTGAGTTCCAGAGTCTGTATTTTCAGTGGCTGACCTCCTACAGGTCTGTGTGAGACTCATAATATTCCTTTGGTTTTTCTTCATTTG